ATGTCAACTGTCTCTTGTACAGGTTAAGAACAGGCGGGAAAATAGCCTGTAGCATGCACTGGGTGTTGACAGCCTGGCAGGTCATGTTCCAGGGAAGAACCAGTTAGGTAAGGCTTACCACTCGCTATCAGAAGGGAAAGCACTCAGCCTGCTAAAGGGAGTCAAGAGGTCCTCTACGCCTGTACACACCTGTGGGGGGAGAAGACAAAAAATCAGCCGTGTTGCTAAAGTTCAAGTATGTTTATTGAGACAAGAAATACATCTCAAAGGGATAGAGTAGCTTAGGCTATTTCTACCTCCCTCCCCCTACCGTGTTATTAAAGTGAAGGAACTCTCAGTTTTTGAGCGTTGTGCATCACAAAATTACGCTCCTAATGTAAATACCAGCCACTTGGGGTGGACGGTAGAGCAACGGTCTCCCTTCATGCAGGTCGGCGATCAAACCCCGACCGTCCACCGAGCGGTTGGGCACCATTCCTTTCCCCCCGTCCCATCCCAAATCCATTTCCTGACCCCTTCCCAGTGCTATATAGTCGTTATGGCTTGGCGCTTTCCCCCCCTCATCATTCCCTCCCTTCCTTCCCGATGTAATTAGCTGAGAACACAAGAACAAAAATCCCAGTCATCACCTACGAGAGCACAGCACAGCCGAATAACTACGGGCTCACCATAGCCCGTGCTACTTGGAACTTGGTTCCAGGTAGCGAATCTTTAACAACAACAGCAGCAGCTCAGCCATCGGGAGACATCTCCCGTCACGCAGGGTGCAGTCGCACCTCCACAGATCTTCAGTATCAGCTCTTGATACTGGTAATGGCTCAAAAGGGCCACCACTTACGGGCTATTCATGCCCGTGCCACCTTTTGGCTGGCTTAATCTTCATCAATCAATCAATCAGCACAGCTATCACACATCACATATCTGCTCACATCACAGCATCACAATCACCCACAACGCCAAAGTGGTTGGGCCACTATCTTGTACTTCCTCCTCCTCCTCCTGCCTTAACTCCCAGTCCTACTTCAAGATTTCTTATGTCCTTCCCCCCCCCCCCACCAACCTTCCCATCTCCTGCTTATCAGCTCCGTGGGTATCTTCGCTAAGCCTAAGTCATGATCGGACTCAAAGTTCATGTTGTAAATAGTGTTCTATCAATATTATTCTAAACCGGACAATTTTACAATGTTCACATAAAAACGGAAAAATTATTTTTGTTTCATAATGGGTAAAAGTGACTATCTTTTTATCTTGAGGTTATCTTGAGATGATTTCGGGGCTTAGCGTCCCCGCGGCCCGGTCCTCGACCAGGCCTTTTGTTCCCCCCCCCCAGGAAGCAGCCCCTAGCAGCTGTCTAACTCCCAGGTACCTATTTACTGCTAGGTGAAGAGGGAGAATCAGAGGAAGAAAGAAACTCTGCTCATTTGTTTCCGCCTCCGCCGGGGAGCGAACTCTGAACCTTGGGACTATGAATCCCGAGCGCCCTTCACTCAGCCGTCAGGCCCCCACACAATCTCCCGGCCCAGTATTTTTTATCCGTTCCGAAATTAATAGGTAGGCCTTAACGTGCAGACCATCCCCCCCCCCAGCCTGCATCTATCCACTCCCATAACCTCACCAATGACTAATGCGGCGCTCCAATACCTGACATTTTCTGCATGCCTTTGTTGTTGATTACGATTCAGTTACTGGGAACAAATTTCCAAGTAGCACGGGCTATGGTGAGCCCGTAGTGGACTTACCTGGCACAGGAGCGGTGCTATGGGACTAATGGGATATAATAGTCATAAATGTAGGTAGCTTAACCCTTCTAACATGACGGCCGCGGCCATGCTGTTTTACCCCTCAGGTTAATTGTAAAAATTATGATGTACATATTAATATCCGTGATAACAAACCCCTTCCATGTCTCACACACACATGATGTGGCATATGATTAAGGCAGCGTCTGGGATGCTCTTGGACGCAGGTTCGAATCCTCGTCACGGCCCTTGTGGATTTGTTCATTTAACCCTTGCATGTAATTGTTTAATTGTTGAATCTCTTTCACTTTCCTTATCCTCGTTCTATGCCGCATGTATGGAGAGGGAGAATTAATGGGATACTGTGCTATTGTTGAGCCCTATTAGACGAGCACGTGACAATAACCATGTGACACAATCCCTGCGATACCCAACACAATAACACGAATTACTTACACATCACTCACAGAGGAAGGAGGGAGAGGGGGGGGGGAAGGAAGGAGGAAAAAAAAAGAAAGAGAAAGAGAAAGAGCGAGAGCGAGAGAGAGAGGGGAGAGAGGCAGAGACAGACCAATAAAATGCAATAAAATTAGAAGAGTTACACCAATAAAATGCAGGAGAATTTAACTGCCTCAGAGAACAACAACAACTGAACCCCCCAAATGACCCAGAGATAAAGAAGAGTAACCTTCATCAGTACCTGGTTGATACCTGGTTGATACCTGGTTGATACCTGGTTAATACCTGGTTGATGGGGTCCTGGGAGTTCTTCTACTACCCAAGCCCGGCCCGAGGCCAGGCTTGACTTGTGAGAGTTTGGTCCACCAGGCTGTTGCTTGGAGCGGCCCGCAGGCCCACATACCCACCACAGCCCGGTTGGTCCGGCACTCCTAGGAGGAAACAATCTAGTTTCCTCTTGAAGATATCAACACCGAGGTGAACACAATACTCTGGCCAAGGTAGAGTTACATTGAACAAATCTACAAGGACCGTGACGAGGATTCGAACCTGCGTCCGGGAGCATCCCAGACAACGTTCATTTGATGCATCACGTTAGTGTGATCTCTGAGTGTGAGAGTTATGTTGATTTATTACACCAGTCAATCCATGGTCAAGGCGGGAGCCCAAGAGCCAGAGCTCATTCCCGCAAGCTCATTCGTTTGGCGCCAGCATGGCTTGCTTAAACTTAACAATCTTGTTGAACTTCCACCGACTAAGAGAAAAACATCAGCTGAGAGTGTTGAAACAACACGAAACATGTTGGGCCGTACACATCATCTTATAATGATGAGAGGAGGGGGTGTTACGCAAACCTGGGGGGCCAGATTCACGAAGCAGTTACGCAAGCACTTACGAACCTGTACACCTTTCCTCAAAATTTGGCGGCTTTTGTTTACAATTATTAAACAGTTAATGAGCTCCGAAGCACCAGGAGGCTGTTTATAACAACAACAACAGTTGATTGGCAAGTTTCCATGCTTGTAAACTGTTTAATAAATGTAACCAAAGCCGTCAAAGATTGAAGGAAAGATGTACACGTTCGTTAAGTGCTTGCGTAACTGCTTCGTGAATCTGGCCCCTAGTCCTGATGTCTATCCACGGATGTCAGACTCTACTAGACACAACGTACTCATCCACAGCTCCAGAGCACAAATGGGGTTGCAAAGGTCACTAAAGGGGGTTAGAAAAGTCACTAAAGGGGGTTACAAAGGTCACTAAAGAGGGTTACAAAGGTCACTAAAGGGGGTTACAAAGGTCACTAAAGGGGGGTTACAAAGGTCACTAAAAGGGGGGTTACAAAGGTCACTAAAGGGGTTACAGAGGTCACTAAAGGGGGTTACAAAGGTCACTAAAGGGGGGTTACAAAGGTCACTAAAGGGGGTTACAAAGGTCACTAAAGAGGGTTACAAAGGTCACTAAAGGGGGTTACAAAGGTCACTAAAGGGGGTTACAAAGGTCACTAAAGGGGGTTACAAAGGTCACTAAAGGGGGGTTACAAAGGTCACTAAAAGGGGGGTTACAAAGGTCACTAAAGGGGGTTACAGAGGTCACTAAAGGGGTTACAAAGGTCACTAAAGGTCTTCATCAGACCCCCCACTCACTCCCCCCAGTAGAAATATGCCATGGTTACAATTCCATTTGTCCATTAAAAAAATGTATGACATCGCTGGTAATACAACAAATGTTTGTAGGTACTGTATTTGCTATGTATACTAATGTATCGGTGTATACTCGAGTCAGAGTTTACATAATATTATCTCATAGCTCTATAACGTTACTGAAATGTCATTGTGTATCTAAGGATACTGTATTACAGAGAAATATTTATCTTACTCTCTCTGATCATTGGAATACAGTCATGATTTGGGCTTCTTATGATGTCTTTATGTGTCTGGTTAGTAGAAGAAACTACATAAACCCCACACACACATACACTACATACAGTGGAACAATTATAAATAATAAATAAAATAAATTAATGTTTATTCAAGTAAAATACATACATACATACATACATACATACATACATACATACATACATACATACATACATACATACATACATACATACAAGAGGTTTTACAATAATTGATAGATTTATAGATAAGAGCTAGTACATACAATGCCTAAAGCCACTATTATGCAAAGCGTTTCGGGCAGGAAAGTTGTATCATTCACAATGAAACGGCGTACCGGTACACACAGCTCTGGTATCATCCCCAATGTAACATAATCCTGGAGTGTGACCCACACTCACATGAGCAAATCCGCAAGGGCCGTGAAGAGATTGATTGATGAAGATTAAGCCACCCAAAAGGTGGCACGGGCATGAATAGCCCGTAAGTGGTGGCCCTTTTGAGCCATTACCAGTATCAAGAGCTGATACTGGAGATCTGTAGAGGTGCGACTGCACCCTGCGTGACGGGAGATGTCTCCCGTGTTACTGGTGGCTGTGGCCGTGAAGAGGATTCGAACCTACGCACGGGATGTTCCCAGACGCGCCTTAGTCGTAGTTGTGGATGTATTCAAGAATGCCTTCAACTGTTGCACTCAGCTCCGAGGATCATTCCTGGTGCAATCATTGATAAACTCGTCACAAGTACGAGCTCCTGGGGTTAGGCTTAAGGTGGATTGATGTTGGATAACAGCTCTTGGCCTCCAGTTTATATAGGAGCATCCGTGGCTTTGCTAATGAAGGCTTAAGTTTAAACCGCCAGCCAGGAGTGTGATAACTTGCTAGAGATGACCTTAAAGTCAGTTTCATATCTCGAGGTTATCCTTCCGTTTGCCCTCACGGGCCTGCAGCTGGTGGCGCGGGGAGCGCGGCGCCTGTGGCTGGTGGCGCGGGGCGCGCGGCGCCTGCAGCTGGTGGTGGCGCGGGGAGCGCGGCGCCTGCAGCTGGTGGTGGCGCGGGGAGCGCGGCGCCTGCGGCTGGTGGTGGCGCGGGGAGCGCGGCGCCTGCGGCTGGTGGTGGCGCGGGGAGCGCGGCGCCTGCAGCTGGTGGCGGCGCGGGGAGCGCGGCGCCTGCAGCTGGTGGTGGCGCGGGGAGCGCGGCGCCTGCAGCTGGTGGCGGCGCGGGGAGCGCGGCGCCTGCAGCTGGTGGCGGCGCGGGGAGCGCGGCGCCTGCAGCTGGTGGCGGCGCGGGGAGCGCGGCGCCTGCAGCTGGTGGCGGCGCGGGGAGCGCGGCGCCTGCAGCTGGTGGCGGCGCGGGGAGCGCGGCGCCTGCAGCTGGTGGCGGCGCGGGGAGCGCGGCGCCTGCAGCTGGTGGTGGCGCGGGGAGCGCGGCGCCTGCAGCTGGTGGTGGCGCGGGGAGCGCGGCGCCTGCAGCTGGTGGTGGCGCGGGGAGCGCGGCGCCTGCAGCTGGTGGTGGCGCGGGGAGCGCGGCGCCTGCGGCTGGTGGTGGCGCGGGGAGCGCGGCGCCTGCAGCTGGTGGTGGCGCGGGGAGCGCGGCGCCTGCAGCTGGTGCCTGCAGCTGGTGGTGGCGCGGGGAGCGCGGCGCCTGCGGCTGGTGGCGGCGCGGGGAGCGCGGTGCCACGAGTTTGTTCCTAGCTAACGATGATTTTTTACTGGTTATGCTGTATAGAATAGGTTAAATAACAATGTTACTTAAAATACGAACACAGTATTATACATTGTATATATATCGCACAAGACTATATAAACATGCACTTGTAAGTCATTTATGAACACAGTGGTACGTCTGTGGGATATTATTGGACCGAATCCACACTAGTGCATTGTTTCTGCTGTTGTTGTTAAGATTCGCTACTTGGAAAAAAAAGTTCCAATCAGCACGGGCTATGGTGAGCCCGTAGCACAATATTTAGCTGCTGGGTGAAGCATAGGGAGCTCCGCGCAAGCATAGCTCCTCTAGTGAAGACAAAGATCATTTCTAAGATAACATTTCCGGGAAGGGCAGCTGCTATCACACTCCAGAACATTTAATTTATCTTTCTTTCTTATATATACAAGAGTTGTTACATTCTTGTACAGCCACTAGTACGCATAGCGTTTCGGGCAGGTTCTTAATCCTAAATTTCCCTGAATACGACCCCACGAAAAAGTGTCTATTAACCAGGTACCCATTTCACTGATGAGTTTTAAACAGAGGCTACAGTTAAGGATTTGCACGAGTAAATCCTCCTCCGGCCAGGATACGAACCCATGACAAAGCGCTCGCGGAACGCCAGGCGAGTGTCTTACCACTACGCCACGGAGACTGCGTGATCTTCAGTTAGCAGCACACACAATACCATACACGGGCTCAACAAAGCTTTCTGTGTAAAAGCAGCGTGTAGAGCCTTAGCCTGTTCCCCCGTTCACAGGAGGACGCTTATAACCTTCCTCTCTTAATCAAGTCCACTGCGGGCTCGCCATAGCCCGTGCTAATTGGAACTTTATGTTCCCAGTAGCGAATCTTAAACAACAAGACCCTTCCTCTCGCTCCACGAACTTCAAAATGGCGATGTAAACACAGAACACGTGACCGCCCTGACGGAGTCTAGGGCGCGCGGGCCACAGTGTTCAGGTCTCACACACTTGGTATTATGTTGTATCTGTCCTCTTAAAAAGAACGTCGCTTTTGGCCGTTTGCCCGTATGGCCGAATTTGGACGTAATTTGAAAATGAAAAAAAAATGAAAACAAATTTGGAATTTTTTTTTTCAACAACAGTAAGTTAAGGGTCCTCTGATAGGTTAGGTGGGCAGGAAATTCTTATAAAGTTTCAAAACGTTATGAAAAACGTTAATTTAAAGTGTCCTCTTATAGCCTCTGCGCGTAGGCAGGACGACTCAAACAGAAAACGGAACAGAACGTCACTTTTGTGAGTCGATTTCATTTCAAATTACGTCCAAATTTAGCCATATCGCTCATACGAGCCAAAAGTGACGTTCTTTTTAAGAGGACGGGTTGATACAACAGTGGCGGCCATTAAATTTAAATTTTGCCCCGAGGGGCGAGTTTATTGGGCAGCGCCACTCATCCTGTGAGTGGACACACAGCCATAGTGACAGTATTGGGCAGCGCCACTCATCCTGTGAGTGGACACACCGCCATAGTGACAGTATTGGGCAGCGTCACTCATCCTGTGAGTGGACACACCGCCATAGTGACAGTATTGGGCAGCGTCACTCATCCTGTGAGTGGACACACCGCCATAGTGACAGTATTGGGCAGCGCCACTCATCCTGTGAGTGGACACACCGCCATAGTGACAGTATTGGGCAGCGCCACTCATCCTGTGAGTGGACACACCGCCATAGTGACAGTATTGGGCAGCGCCACTCATCCTGTGAGTGGGCACACCGCCATAGTGACAGTATTGGGCAGCGCCACTCATCCTGTGAGTGGACACACCGCCATAGTGACAGTATTGGGCAGCGTCACTCATCCTGTGAGTGGACACACCGCCATAGTGACAGTATTGGGCAGCGCCACTCATCCTGTGAGTGGACACACCGCCATAGTGACAGTATTGGGCAGCGCCACTCATCCTGTGAGTGGACACACCGCCATAGTGACAGTATTGGGCAGCGTCACTCATCCTGTGAGTGGACACACCGCCATAGTGACAGTATTGGGCAGCGTCACTCATCCTGTGAGTGGACACACCGCCATAGTGACAGTATTGGGCAGCGCCACTCATCCTGTGAGTGGACACACCGCCATAGTGACAGTATTGGGCAGCGCCACTCATCCTGTGAGTGGACACACCGCCATAGTGACAGTATTGGGCAGCGCCACTCATCCTGTGAGTGGACACACCGCCATAGCAGCATGTACAACATTCCCCAAAAGAAAGAAAACCCGCTGGGTTGTTCATCCTGTCACTTGTACCCAGACACAGCTGGGACTTGCTTAACTGTCTCAAGTGAACAACTTGTCAAACAAGAAGATTAACATCTGTCAACCCTTAAAAAGCTTACGTTATCCTGCGGGTGCAAAATGGGGAAATCTTTTAAGAACAGTATCAATATTTGACAAATAATGTTTTCCTAACTCAAACAATGTGGGGTTTATTATTCTACACATATTCCTAATGTCTCTCAGGTGTTCACATTCACGTAGATAGTGGTCAAGGCGGTGTCCATCACTCTCACCACAGATTCTGCAACTCCGCTGATCAACTGTTGTTTCCATTCCGAATCTCCATGGATATTTGTATCCAAGACGGATTCTCGCTATTACTGATTCTCTCCCGCGTCCTCCTCCTCTTCGGCCATAATGATTGGGACTGCCAGCAGCAACCATGTTGTACCATCGTATAGATTCACTGTGGCGGCCATCTCACGTCGGGCGACGGACCACCACCAATCACCACTTTATAATAATGCCCGCTATATATGCCGCGGAGTGATACAATAATGATTACGTGGGTAAACTGGTGAATTACCTGAAGCATTTGCTCTAACAAGGGGATTGATTACCATCTTGTCTCGTCTTTGAATAATCAAGGAGTTATATGCCGACAACTGGAACAATATTTAGGAGACCTGAGAGAGTGAAATTCACACTATTCTATCATACTATTATGCAGAAAGAACCGCATATCTACGGGTCAAACAATAGGTCCAGCAGACTTATACACTCTAGCTAAACTACTACTGTTTAAGATTTGCTACCTGGAGCAAAAAGTTCCAAGTAGCACGGACTATGATGAGCCCGTAGTCTAGCTAGATGTTACTACTGAATGGGTGAGAGATTAATGATAAGTCCCACTAATCAATAAACACATCAAGTCTATTAAAACATAATTGCGACCCAGTTCTTGTTTATAAACAACACTGAAACCTTTCTACCACTCCCACACCAGATGGGAATGGGGGACCACACTAAACTAATTTAACTAACCATCTTAACGTCGTTCTATTTGGGCCCCAAATACCACTCTTTGGTAATGGTAGGGGTGATAAAGGCTCATCACAGACTCTTGATGTGTATCATGGAGGCAGCTTAGCGAAACGAAATTTGGGGGTTAGGTTACAGGGGCCATTATTGTTACATGTGTCTGTAACCTTGTCCACTACCACTCACAGGATGGGTACCACCAGGTCCACCACCAGTTGGAGGCCTGGTCGAGGACCGGGCCGCGGGGACACTAAAAGCCCCGAAATCCTATCAAGATAACCTAACCACTCACAGGATGGGGTACCAGGTCCACTACCACTCACAGGATGAGTATATGGTATATCATCAATGCAGTAAACTATATACGCTCCTCACCTTTCCTTCATTCATATATCAACCTTTCCCTCCATCTACTATAATAACCTTTCTCTCCATTCACCTGGGCTGTAGGGGACTCGAACCCTGAACCCCTCGAGTGGGAGGCCGAAGCTGTATCGACCGAGCCAGGTGACCGACCGAGGTGAATGGAATGTTTACTTCTACGACAGTGTGGGTGACTATTTATAAAACCATTTTTTTAATTCCGCCCACCTCCCGTCTCCCTTACACACCCAAGGGCTCACCCACCTCCCTAGGAGGCCTGGTCGAGGACCGGGCCGCGGGGACGCTGAGCCCCGAAACCATCTCGAGATAAGTACCCAGGTGTCCGCCTAAGCGTACACCAACTAGCCAATTAGCACACCTGTGTTTGGTAAACAGATTCGTCTGTAGGTTATTCTTGGCGGCAGTCGCTAATGGCATAGTTTGTCCGGGAGCGTCTTGGTCTGTGTGTTCCTGGTCTGGGAGGAGGTGACTCTTCGCCCTTCTTCACCCAGCAGTAATTCGGTACCTGGTTGTAAACTGATTGACGGGATGTGTTCCAGGAGAATATTGTGGGTAAGGATTATCATGAGCTATGATAAAGGGACGCTATCAGCCTGCTAATAGGTTATCTTGAGATGATTTCGGGGCTTTAGTGTCCCCGCGGCCCGGTCCTCGACCAGGCCTCCACCCCCAGGAAGCAGCCCGTGACAGCTGACTAACACCCAGGTACCTATTTTATTGCTAGGTAACAGGGGCATAGGGTGAAAGAAACTCTGCCCATTGTTTCTCGCCGGCGCCCGGGATCGAACCCGGGACCACAGGATCACAGGTCCAGCGTGCTGTCCGCTCGGCCGACCGGCTCCCCTTAGGTGTTAGAAATAATTTCCTTCTAGGGTTGTAATCCGTCAGATCACTACAAGGTCCTCAAAATCAATGTTCGTACACTACAAGGTCCTCAAAAATCAGTGTTCGTACACTACAAGGTCCTCAAAATCAGTGTTCGTACACTACAAGGTCCTCAAAAATCAGTGTTCGTACACTACAAGGTCCTCAAAATCAGTGTTCGTACACTACAAGGTCCTCAAAATCAGTGTTCGTACACTACAAGGTCCTCAAAATCAGTGTTCGTACACTACAAGGTCCTCAAAATCAATGTTCGAGCACTACAAGTTCCTCAAAATCAATGTTCGTACACTACAAGGTCCTCAAAATCAATGTTCGTACACTACAAGGTCCTCAAAATCAATTTTCGAGCACTACAAGGTCCTCAAAATCAATGATCGTATACTACAAGGTCCTCAAAATCAATGTTCGTACACTACAAGGTCCTCAAAAATC